AAACTAGATATTTAAACAGACTGTAACCTCCTCTTGTAGCAGTCACAGAGTTTCAGCCAATCACAGGCAGCCAGCGCAATCAGCCCAGCTGTTTCTGCGCCTCACGTGTGCTTTCTGTACATCACTTACTGTCTCTGTCCATGCATTTTACCTGGCCAGGTGGCAGGCCTGGAGTTCTGGTTCTGGGGGCTGTTAGATTTGTGAGTCGTTCTTTGCTCAATTAAATTCCGTTAAATTTGGTTTGTTTAAAGTTTTTCTGTTTTTATTTTGGAGACGGGGTCTCACTGTTACCCAGGCTGGCGTGCAGTAGCTGGATCACAGCTCACTGTAGCCTCAACCTCCTGGGCTCAAGCTATGCTCCCACCTTGGCCTTCCAAAGTGCTGGGATTACAGGTGGGGGCCATCATGACTGGCCTAACATTTACCTTTTAACAGAGGATTTGGCCTTCGGGTCAGCCATTATACTCACATGTATTGTTTATTACAATGAAAGAAGCAGCAAAGAGGCACATAGGGCGGAGTCCGGGAGACACAGGTGCAAGCTTCCAGTCCTTTACCAGTGGAACCCTGTTGTCAGTGCTTACTTCTCCCGGAAACCATTTGTGGCAGCCTACGTGGAGTACTGCCAGCCAGGGAAGCTGCCCTGAGTCTTGGTGTCCAGGGTTTTTATTAGGAGATGGTCATGCAGGTATAGTTGACCTCAGTCACTCAATCTCCAGCCCCCTCCAGCCTACCGCACACCCAGCAATGAATCACATTGTTAATTAGCATAGACTGGAATGGCCCAAGGCTCCCAGGTGAAGAAAAACACTCATCAGGAAGCCTGCCTGCAGTGCTCAGAGAGTCTCTCGGAACGGGTCAAAGGCCAAACCTGTTTTTAGGAATGTGCAGGTGTGGACGGTACAGGTTTTCTGAGTTAATTCTTTCCTGCTCCTCTTACCGTGCGGGGCTGCCTGGTAAAGAATTTCAACAAAACACCAGCTCCTGCTTGTGCTTGACCTTTGCCAGACCCTGGGCTTGGCCCACAGCACATTAAAACCACCTGGGCAGCACATAAACCGCCCCACTCCTGGTCTCCACTCCAGACCGACTTAAATCAGATTCTCTAGGGGTGGGGCCTGGTTATCAGCATTTTTAGGTTGTATCCTGGGAATCTGGTATTGAAGCAAGTTTAAGAGTAACTGAGTCCAGGCTCTGGGACCAGCGCTGTGGGCGAGGTGGAGATATGAATATTGAGAAGGTGCAGATTCAGCAGCTGAGGCTGGAGGGTCAGACAAGGACCATGGTGTTCATGCTGGCTGTGGGAGGACCAGCAAGATTGAAGCCTTGGAGGAGAAGGAGGTGTAGGAGCAGAGGAGCAAGTCAACACAACCAGCTAGAACTGGCATCAGGAGAGGGAAAACAGGCCAGCAGGAGATGCTGAGGCCAGGTCCTAAACGCTTATGCTGTTGGACTTGGCTTTGTGGCTGGGGCTTTTTGCACAGGAGCCTATCAGGCTCAGAGCTGTGCTTTAGAGAAAGTAGTCCCTCAGCAAACGGCAGTCATTCGCTCACCAAGTATTCATTCCATGCCTGCAGCATCCCAGGCCCTGCTGTAGGTGTGAGGATACAGCAGGGAACAGCACACAGTGCCTGCCATTGTGAAGCTGGTGCAGAGGGGGAGAGGCGGTGGACAAGTAAATCAGAATACAACGTGTCAGGTGACCTAAGTGCCCCGGAGGAGGAAGATGACACGGGGCAAAGGCAAGGGGAGTGAGGGCAGGATGCTTTCTACAGTAGGATGTGGGGAGACCTCTGTGGTAAGGTGACATTTGAATGGGGAGTGAGGGCGGGATGCTTTCTACGGTAGGATGTGGGGAGACCTCTGTGGTAAGGGGACATTTGAGAGGAAGCCGGTAAGGTGGATGTCTGGGGAAGGGACATTCCTGGCAGAGGTAACAGCAGGTGCAGATGCCCCTTCGTGGTTATGAGCCTGATGTCGGTGGGAATGGGGATGTGGGGGCAGATTTCAGGACGTTTATGGAGAATACACAAGATTTATGGTTAATTGCATGATAGGTAGATGGTGTCAGGCTTGAGGTTGGTTTGAGGCAGGGACATCACCACTGGCTACACTTTAAAATCATGAGGGGAACATTTAGTAATTCCAGTGTCTGTGCCCTATTATTTCATTTATGTGAAGTTCAAAGAGACAAAACATCAAGAATGTATAAGAAACTGACCACCCAGTTATAAAACAGACAATACAATTTAAAAATGGGTAAAAAAATGCAAGTGGTCATGTCACAAAAGAATATAGACACATGGCCAGCAAGCACATGCAAGGTAACTAGTCAGGCAAGGCGGGTGGATCACGAGGTCAGGAGATCAAGACCATCCTGGCTAACACAGTGAAACCCTGTCTCTACTAAAAAAAAAAAATAGCTTAGTGTGGTGGCTTGTACCTGTAATCCCAGCTACTCAGGAGGCTGAGGCAGGAGAATTGCTTGAACTCAGGAGGTGGAGGTTGCAGTGAGCCGAGATCGTGCCATTGCACTCCAGCCTGGATGACAGAGTGAGACTCCGTCTCAAAAATACAAATAAAAATAAAGAAAGGTAACTAGTCAGCAGAGATGCAAGTTAAAACCACATTGAGATAGCATTTTATTTTTGTTTTATCTGAATTAATTTATGTATTTACCGATTTTTTTTTTGAGAGTCTTGCTGTGTTGCCCAGCTGAGTGCAATGGTGCGATCTCAGCCCACTGCAACCTCTGCCTTACAGGTTCAAGCCATTCTCCTCCCTCAGCCTCTTGAGTAGCTGGGATTACAGGCATGTGCCACCACGCCTGGCTAATTTTTGTATTTTTAGTAGAGATGGGGTTTTGCCATGTTGGCCAGGCTGGTCTTGAATTCCTGACCTCAGGTGATCCGCCCACCTCAGCCTCCAAAGTTCTGGAATTACAGGCATGTGCCACCACCCCCAGCTGAGATACCATTTTACATAACCAATGGGAAAGACTAAAATTTAGGCTGACCACATTAAATGCAGACAAGGATGGGGCACCTGGGACCCCAGACATTGCTGGGGAAGGTAACACGGTGCAGCCACTCTGGCCAACAGTTCAGCAGTTTCTTTTGAAGTAAAACATAAATATACCGTATAAGCCAGAATTTTTACTTCTAGGTATATACCCAAGAGAAATAAAAACATATATTCATAGCCGGGCACAGTGGCCCACGCCTGTAATCCCAGCACTTTGGGAGGCTGAGGCGGCCGGATTGCCTGAGGTCAGGAGTTCGAGACCAGTCTGGCCAACATGGTGAAACCCCAACTCTACCAAAAATACAAAAAAATTAGCCAGGTGTGGTGGCAGGCACCTGCAATCCCAGCTACTGGGGAGGCTGAGGCAGGGGAATTGCTTGAACCAGGGAGCTAGAGGTTGCAGTGAGCCAAGATCGTGCCACTGCACTCCAGCCTAGGTGACGGAGTGAGACGCCTGGCTGATTTTGTATTTTTTTAGTAGAGACAGGGTTTCCCCATGTTGGTCAGGCTGGTCTCAAACTCCTGACCTCAGGCGATCTGCCCACCTCGGCCTCCCAAAGTGCTGGGATGACAGGCCTGAGCCACCATGCCCGGCAGCGGCTTTATTCATAATAGCCAAAACTGGAAACAGTTCAGACGTCCAACAACAGCCGAATATATAATCAAATTGTTGTTTATCTAAACAATGTGTATCAGTCAGTAAGAAAAAGGAATGAGCTTATCATGCATGCAGTGATATGGATGAATCTCAAAAAGATCACACTGAGTAAGAAAGCCAGACACAAAAGCCTAACGACTGTATGAGTCTAGTCATAGGAAATTCCAGAAAAGGCAAAACTGTGGTGAACAAAAGCAGACCTGAGTTTGCCCGGGGTTGGGACTGGCAGGGAAATGGACTGCAGAAGGGCAGCAGGGAGGGTTCTGGCGTGATGGAAATGTTCTTTTATGATGGTGGAGGTGGTTGACACGGTGAACATATTTGTCAAAACTCATTTGTCCACATAAAATTGGTGTTTTTTGCTTTTCTGTTTTTTCTTTGGAGACAGGGTCTCACTGTTACTCAGACTGGAATGCAGTGGCACAATCGCGGCTCATTGCAGCCTCCACTTTCTGGGCTCAAGTGATCTTGCCACCCCAGCCTGCTGCGTAGCTGGGACTACAGATTTGTACCACCACAGCCAGTTTTTTGTAGGGATGGGGTTTCACCATGTTCCCCAGGCTGGCCTCAAACTCCTGGGCTCAAGCAGTCTGTTTGCCTTGGCCTCCCAAAATGCTGTGATTATAGGCATGAGCCGCTGCACCTGGCCTGCTGTCTTTTACTGTACATAGATTGTTGTTTGATAGATTGACTAAAGAGAAACCAGACAAAACTCATCTTCAGTGGTAGCGGTGAGAATAACAGTTACCCTGGGGGGATTCCCTGGAGGAGGCGCAGAGTAGCCTGCTGAGGGGCTGGAAATGCCCTGTACCTTGATCTGCGTGTACCACAGAGGTGTGCGTCTGTGGAAAGATTGATTGAGCCATGTGGCCAGAATTTGTGTACTTTACTGTACGTGAGTTATACCTGAATTTAAAAAGAAAAAGAAGTGGCCAAGTGCCATTCCTGGAAATTGAGATTTCGTTCCTCAGGAAATGGTCGCAGGCATTGCTATTTGGGAGTTCCTGGGGGACTTGAATGTTCAGCCGGCTTTGGGAGCCATTGATTTAGGGCCAGCACGCGTCGAGTGTTGAGTGTGAGTGACGGAGGCTGTCCTGAGGCCGTGGGCCGTCTGGTGGCGTGTTCGGGAATGGGGAGGCCGCTCAGTTCTGCCTCGGCTTTCTAGTGATGTGAGGTGAGGGTGGGCTTCCAAGCTTCCGCGTGGACATACACGCAGCGCGGAGCAGCGACCTCCAGGGCTGGGCTGCAGACGGGCGCGCTGTGTGCGGAGTCTCGGTGTGGAGCCTGCTTCGGCTCAGACTTCTTTCCTGACGCCCAGGGCAGGATGGCGGCAGATGAAAGCTCGCAGGACACTTTGCGGCTCCAGTTCCAGGCGATGCAGGAGATGCAGCGCAAACGGTTACAGAAGCAGATGGAGAGAAAGAGGGAGAAGGAACTGAGCCCCGAAAGCAGAGCCGACGGCCAGGAGGAGCCCTTGGAGGTCCCAGGTGGTCTCAGCCTTCTCCATGCCGGGGAGCCACACTCGAAAAACAGCTTTGAGAAGAGGTAAGTGCAAGTTTGAAGTCTCTCAGGGGTGTGTGTGTGTGTACGCAGGAGCTATAGCAAAACTTGTAAAGTGCAGCTGAAGTGACAGAAGGAAGCTTTGAGCCTTAATCATACCTGCATTTACCAAGTTCTGATACAGCCTCTGTAGTCAATTCATTCTAAATGCTTTTTTTTTTTTTTTTTTTGAGACAGAGTTTCACTCTTGTCACCCAGGCTGGAGTGCAATGGCCCGATCTCAGCTCACCGCAACCTCCGCCTCCTGGGTTCAGACAATTTTCCTGCCTCAGCCTCCCGAGTAGCTGAGACTACAGGCACGCGCCACCATGCCCAGCTAATGTTTTGTATTTTTAGTAGAGACGGGGTTTCACCATGTTGACCAGGATGGTCTCGATCTCTTGACCTCATGATCCACCCGCCTCGGCCTCCCAAAGTGCTGGGATTACAGGCTTGAGCCACCACGCCTGGCCCATTCTAAATGCTTTATAGACACATTATGATTCCTTAACCCATAAATAATTTAGGAATATAGAGTATTTTTCTAGCTTCAAACATATGATGAGTTTTGGGTTGGTTAGTTCCCTCCCTCCCTCCCTCCTTCTGAAACCTCGCAGGATTTCAGAATTGCCGTGAACAGGAATTAAGTAACTCTCTTTTCCAAATGGAAACACTTACTGTGGTTTCTTGGACTTTTGACTATCAAGGTACTAATATGTCGGGTTTTTAGAATGCAGATTGTGTGTGTGTGTGTGTGTGTGCGCGGGTGTGTGTGTGGGGGGGTATGTGTATGTGTGTGGGTATGTGCATGTGTGTGTGGGTGTGTGGATGTGTGTGGGTATGTGCGTGTGTGTGAGTATGTGTGCGTGTGTGTGTGCGCGCGTGCGCGCGGGTGTGTGTGTGTGCGGGTGTGTGTGTGTGCGGGTGTGTGTGTGTGTGTGTGTGCGGGTATGTGTGTGTGTGTGGGTATGTGTGCATGTGTGTGGGTATGTGTGTGTGTGTGTGTGTGTGTATGTGCATAGGTATCTGGATCAAGGATTGAACAACTGGTTCTAATGAAGAGACTATCTTGAAGTCTGGAACTTTGAGTATGATACCAGTATTGGGTAGGGCCTTGGATTTTTATCTGTTGAGTAGGCTTAGCTTCATGACTTGGTTTGGTTCACTGAATATGAGTGGAGGTCATATAGGTCATTCTTTCCTTCCTTCCTTCCTTCCCTCTCTCCCTCCCTCCCTCCCTCCCTCCCTCCCTCCTTCCCTCTTTCTATCCTTCCTTCACTCCTTCACTCCTTCCCTCCTTTCTTCCTTCTCTCCCCCCTCCCCCCTCCTTCTCTCCCTCCCTCCCTCCCTCCCCCCTCCTTCTCTCCCTCCCTCCCCCCTCCTTCTCTCCCTCCCTCCCTCCCTCCTTCCCTCCTTCCCTCCTTCTATCCTTCCTTCACTCCTTCACTCCTTCCCTCCTTTCTTCCTTCCCTCCCTCCCTCCCCCCTTCTCTCCCTCCCTCCCTCCCTCCTTCCCTCCTTCCTTCCTCCTTCCCTCCTTCTATCCTTCCTTCACTCCTTCCCTCCTTTCTTCCTTCCTTCCCTCGCTCCCTCCCTCCCTCCTTCCCTCCGTCCCTCCTTCCCTCCTTCACTCTTTCCCTCCTTCCTTCCTTCCCTTTTTAATGGAGCCTTGCTCTGTCGCCAGGCTGGAGTGCAGTGGCACGATCTCACCTCACTGCAATCTCTGCCTCCAGAGTTCAAGCTGTTCTCCTGCCTTAGCTTCCCAAGATGCGCGCCACCACGCCCAGCTAATTTTTGTATTTCTAGTAGAGATGGGGTTTCACCATGTTGGCCAGGTTGGTCTCCATCTCTTGACCTCGTGATCTGCCTGCCTCAACCTCCCAAAGTGCTGGGAATACAGGCGTGAGCCACCGCGCCCAGCCTCTTGTTTTATTTCTATTTTTTATTATCTATTTCTAATACAGTCACTTGCCATTAGAGAAGAAAGTCTATATAATGTTATTATTTGGAATTTGCTAAGATTGCCTTTATAGCTTATAATACTTTTTCTTTTTTTTTTTAAGAGACAGGGTCTTGCACTGTCACTCAGGCTGGAGTGCAGGATGACAGCTCACTGCAGCCTCAAGCTCTTGGGCTCAAGCAATCCTCCCATCTCAGCTTCTGGAGTCACTGGGATCACAGGTGTACACCACCAGGCCTGGCTAATTTTTCCTTTCATTTTTAGAGACAGGGTCTCTCTTTGTTGCCTAGGCTAGTCACAGACTCCTGCCTTGGCCTCCCAAAGTGCTGGGATTAGAGGTGTGAGCCACCACACCCAGCCCTGTGATATATTTTATGCATGCTCCATGGATGCTTAAAAGAAGTATGAATTCTAATTGGGGGTTTTTTATAACTCCCTATTGAAGCCAGCTAATGAACACGGCATTCAAACCTTCCTTCTTTCACGTGTGTGTATCTGCATCTGCATGTCTGTGTGTCCACCTGGGCACTGGAGGCCTGACCCCTGCCCACCAGGGTCTTTGCCTTGAAGGAGCATTAATTCTGCCTTTGCCTTGTAGGGTGCTTGAAGATGAGATTGAACACCTTCGAAACGAGCTCAGGGAAACAGTGGACGAGAACGGGCGATTGTGTAAGCTGCTGAAGGAAAGGGACTTTGAAATCAAACACCTCAGAAAGAAAATAGAAGAGGACAGACTTGCCTTCACAGGTAGCTCCACACTGTTGTGACAGGCCTTGCCCTGCAGTCCGGGGACTTCAGACGGGGCAGACAGCACGTTCGGAGGGCAGGTGCCCACGAGTGTGGTCAAGCTTGTCCATCTGAGTCCTGGAAGTGAGGGAGAGGGTAGAGGAAAAGAGCAGGCCCAGGGAGGCCAGCCCACCAGAAAATGGGAGCACGGGGGGCAATGAAGGGTTAAAACGTGGGCCAGCAGGCCAGCCTCCTAGGCAATGCTGGTGACCCAGCTGGGCCTCGTGGCAGGGACCCGCCATCATGCTTGCATTACGTTCAAGGGCTGGCGGGGTGCGGTCCTCTTTGGTGCGCTGGCTCAGATGTTATGGCGTGAACATGAAAAAGCCCAGCAGCCTGTGGTGAGCTGTGGTCACCCACTGCACTGAACTCTGGGCAACAGAGTGGGATCCTGTCTCAAAGAAAAAAAAAGCTCCAGTGGAGACGGGCGTTAACTTTACAGCAGCTGCTGTTGCTGCTCCAGAAAGGTAGACTGAGACAGGGAGGCCACTGCTCAGGGAGGACATCCTGGGACCAGCCACCAGTGGGGGCCGGGCTGGGCCTTGCCCTGTACGTCTGCGTAGACCTTAGCTGCGTTGGTGGAGACCTAGGCCCCATGAGTCTGGTGAGGACCTTGGCCTTGCAGGTCTGGGAGTGACCTCTGATCTGTGGGTGTGAGCTGGACATCGGCTCTGTGGTTATGAGTTTGACTTTGGCCCTGCAGATGGAGTGGAGACTTTGGACCTGACTGTCATCTGCTCTGTATACACCCATTGAGCAATTCCCAGGTGGCTCACAAATCAGAAAGTACTGTAGATGTCACCAGTCACAGAGGGCAGCAGGGCTGACTCTGCACCCACAAGAGTGTCCCTCCCTGTCTTTGAGAGTAAATGCTTTTGAGGGTGGGACCAGAACTCTGGTCAGTCAGCGCTGAGTCACAAAGCCCGGGGAATTTGGCATCCTAAAGACCCATGGGCCTAGTGCACCTCCCTCCATTCTTGGGCCTTTTCTGTCTGAAACAAAAAACACAAACCTTGAAGACAAGTCTTTGTACTGTGAGGACCTGGCTGAGGACCCAGCTGTGGAGGGGGCCGCGTGCCCGTTTGCCAGGCGTAGAGAAGCTGCTGGGCTCCAGCGGTGCAGGAGATGCCTCTCCACCCAGCGGGCCCGGGCAGCAGACCTGGGGTCCCTCCCTCAGCCCCCTGCCTTGCTCACTGTCTCTTCCAGTCTTTGCTAACACACAGACTTGGTCATGGCCTCTTCTGACTGCCAGCCCTAAGTGTCCCTGAAAACCACTGAAGTCCAGGCGTCACTCTGAAGTCACCATTTCTGATTTCCATTTTCACATTTCGGAGAGAAAATCTGACAAGCCCATTTGTGTTTTCAAACCGTGCCGCAAGTGACAGGCTGTTGACAGCTGACAGACTGGTTCCCTTTGGCCGGATTTTTAGTGATTGCTTTTGGCTTTTGTTTGTTTACTATTTTTTTTTGCACTTTTTTCTAGTGATTGTTCTAATGATACTTACTTACCTTTTCATAGTCTACATAGAACTAACATTTTACTACTTCAAATGGAATCTAGAAACTTTGCCACCATCCGGGTCCCTTGACCTCTCCCTATATATTGCAGGATGTGTCAGTATTACATCCGTATATATATTGAAAACCCTAGCAGTCAGTGCTGTGCTTTTTGCTTTCAACTGTTATACATGTTTTAACAAACCCGAAGGCAGGACTATTCTCTTTAGCCAGATACTCAGCATTTCTGTGCTTCCGTCAATTCTGCCCCCATTGATCAGGGGCTGCAGCTTCAAGAGCAGAGCTTGCCTGGAGACAGGGTTGGTAAATAATTTAAAAAAAAAAGAAACCCAGAGGATTCTTTCCATTCTGTCCGAGCCCCACTTCGTGCTGTCTGCACTCGAAAGGCATTCTCTTGGCCCTCTTTCTGATGGCCAGTTCAGGATTTGTGCTGATCTGAATCCTGGGAGGGAACGTGCCACCAGACCCTTTGTGCTTCTCGTCTGCTTTCCTTCCCCAGAACGCTTGCCACCGTTCACTTCCAGAACGCTCAGGGCGCCGCTTCCACACCCTATCCAGGCTTTTGGTTGTATTCAGCGAAGGAGATAGGGTAGAATGTGCTCACTCCATCTTAACCGGAACCAGACCTCTGCTGAAATTGCAGTTTTTTTAACTGCTGGAGTTGATGATTTTCACAGTGATCCTGTATTATCACCACCCCGACGTACAGCCTGTTAAAGAGCCAAGTGTGCCGTCAAGATGCTCCAGGCCTCCAGGCCGGCTCTGAGCCTTTTCTCTTGGGGTGTCCTTATCCTCCTCAGCAGACGCAGACATGAGATTCCAAGGGCAGCTGCTCCTGGTTGCCCCCTCGCTGCCTTGGCCAGGCTGGCAGGAGGTGATTTGAAAGCCATCGAGTGCCTGTTTGCCACTAGTTGTCACCCGTCATCTTGTTCTGAGGCATGTGATGGCCATGTTAAAAGCAGGACTGAAAACAGGCCTGCCAGTTACTCCCTGCTACCGTGTCAGAAGCATTCAGAAAGCCTGCCGACCATCTGACCACATCTGCCATCACACCGATGGAGCTGTACTCCAGAGAGGGTGAGGGGCTGTCAGGGCCACAGCTGGGCAGTGACCACGCTGGGCTGGCTCCCAGCGCCCGCCCTCTGCACAGCTCCTGCCCATGCAGCTTCCCCCGTCCACACCCTCCAGCCTCCCTCCCTCCCTCACCCACTGCAGGGAGCCTTCCCTCTACGCTGGGGTCCTTGATGGTCCTCACATACTCTAAGCACGTTCCCACCTGCAGACCTTTGTACCTGCATCTCCTCTGCTTAGAATATCCTTCCTAGGTGAGAACACTCTTCCTGGTTTGAGCCCTCACTTCATTCATTCAGGTGTCTGTTCACACCTCACCTCCTCAGAGAGCCGTTCCCGGCCAGTCCATCTAAAATAGCGTCACCTCCCTCATTCTTACCCCTTGCCCAGCTCCCCTATATTTCCCAACACTTACTCCTATGTATTAGAATATGTAGTTATTTCTTTGAGGTTTTAAACCATCTGTCTTCCCTACTTGAATGTAAACTCCATGAGTCTTTTTTATCCACTGTGAACTCCGTAATACCAAGAGGACCCAGCACTTGATAGAAAACAAATATTTGCTAAATGAATGTATGCCTTTGTGTTGGGTACGTGTTACCACCAAACTCTGAAGAAACAACCACGCAGTCTCGGCAGCAGTAAGCGCTTATTTAGCCTGAACACCGATCGGGGCCAGGCTGGCTGGGTTGGTTCCTTGCATTACGCTCCTGATTCTTGAGACCAGCAGCCAGATATGCTCTTCCTGGGGCGGGCACACGCAAGCCGGCGAGTTTAACTGCGTGAGTGCTTTTCACGCCTCTGCCTTGTCTGCACCTTATCTGGTAACATGCCTTTGGCCAAAGCAAGCCACGTGGCTGAGTCCAGAGCCATAGAAGGGCCAAGGGGACTGCACCCTACACATCAGAGGGCACAGCAGAGTTACAGGGATGTGGACATGACCCTGTCACTGAGGATGGCATGAAGCACTGGACTGATAAACCTGAGTCTCACAGAAGGAAAACTCTGCTTTCTGCTTTTATAATTTTGCTAGAACATGCTGAACCTCTGAGCGGCTGCATTTCTACTCATGGGAGTTGGGGCCCAGGGCTGCTCAGTGTATGGTGCCCCTCCTAAGCCAGTGCCCTTTATGAGCATCCATGCCAAGCAGCTTTAGATCTCAAGACCCTGGTGTTGTCCGTGGTGGGGTGTGAGTTTGATGTTTTAATTGATCTCACCATTCCCTTCTTTTTAGGGACAGCTGGTATAGCTGGAGACGTGGTCGCCACCAAAATTGTGGAGCTATCAAAAAAGAACCGGGTGTTGATGGCAGAATCAGAGGGTGCAAAAACCAGAGTGAAGCAGCTGACCAGTCGCATCCAGGAGCTGGAGCGGGAAGTGAGGGGCCCTGGGACTCCCAGCACGGGCAAGAGGGAGCCTTCCCAGCTTCTCCATGTGTAGCTGGAAGGGCTGAAGTTGGAAAGTTAAGAGGCTTTCTCAGATCACACAGTGTGTGGTGGTGCTTCATTTTATTTTATTTATTTTTTTAAAGACAGGATTTCACCGTGTTTGTCAGGCTGGTCTTGAACTCCCAACCTCAGGTGATCCGCCTGCCGTGGCCTCCAAAGTGCTTGGATTACAGGCGTGAGCCACCACGCCCGGCTGTGCTTCATTTTAAATCCAATGCTGTGGGCCTCCAGTGGGCTTCACGGTGTCTCTGGCCTCATCTATTCATCTGTAACCTGAAATCCATTGTGTTTTATGCCCTGCCTCCTAGGCTGTGGTTGGAACTCCAGGAGACAGATGATGAGTGAAGCATTATTACCTATTAAGCTGTTAGTGAGCCCTTGGGCTGCTTCTACAGTGCAGCTAGGGAGGGGGCCAGACGGTCAGGTAAACCCTCTCCATTCCAGAGCGGTTTCTAAAGGGGAGCCGTTCCATGAGTGACCCTAAAGTGAGCTAAAAGGACGCACCACCAAGATAGGTCACCACACGCACAGTGGCACCAGAGTGCTTCCTTTGGGCTGCACAATTGCTGAGCAGAGTGTGAAGTGTGAGGTTTGCTTTTTCAGCTGCAGTCAGCCCTGACCAGGCCGCCAGCCAAGGGGGCTGCCAACGCGGGAGCCGGGCCGCCGAGGACGCGGACGGGAGACGGAGCATTGGTACGAATTCTCTTCTGTGCTGGGGACTCTGCGAGGCAGCCCCCGGCCTGGGCCCTCCTCCACCGTGTGTAGGTACCTCCCCCCGAGCCCACCCCACCCCACCCGCTGCCGAGCCAGGTGCCCATCCATTGGCTACCATTGCTGCCTCTTCAGAGCAGACGTCAGAGGGCAGCACCGAGTCTGTGGCCTGAGGCCAGTAATGTCCTGTCAGAAGCCGTGGAGGGTGCCGCTCCAGCTCTGTCTCCAGAAAGGAAGGCTGGGAGGAGCCTGAGAACCCTGGACCCTGGAACCTCAGGATCGGGAGGGAAGGCCTGGTCCAGCTGACCTCCCACTGTCATCCTAGCTGACCTCCCGGCCAGCCCCTGTCCGGCACCCTCACTGGGGACACATGCAGCCTCCACCTTACTGCAGTGGCAGGGAGCTCACCACTGCCCAGTGGGGTCCTGTTCTTTAGGGCAGTGGTGAATTATATCATATTATCAGCCCTCTCCCTTTGGTGGAGCTCCAAATCTACAGAGCCAAACTGGCTGCTGGAAATGGGGACTTGTCCCCCACAGCCCATTTTATAAACCAGTGAACAGTTCTTGAAACTCAGGAGGTGGGAACTGCAGCTCCACGAGAGGAAGGCAGACTGACCTGGGGGTTGCCTTGTCCCCAAGCCAGACAGTAAATGGCATCAGAGTCTAAGTAACATTCCAGGAGGCTTCCCGAGGGTTTTCCTGGGAAGCCAGGCCAGTGGCGAGAGAGGCAGCCAAGCCCAGGACTCCCAGTTTGCTGCCTGTGTTCTAGCCCAGTCTTCCCTGCCGCCTGCACCTCAGGGTGGGATTGCCTCTGCGTTCCTTGAGGACGGTGCAGTCCCTGGTATGCAGCAATGGGTCCGTCAGGCTCTGGGAGAATGCACCGCCTCAAGTCTAGTCTTGTATAAACCTGTCTCATTGCTGGGGAGGCGGCAGAGGGGCTCTCCTCGGGGCTAGACTGAGGATTCTTCAGGCCCTTTCCTGGCTCCAGGGGACACTGCTAAGCTGCCCCTGGTCTATTCTGAGTATTGGGCACCTCCACGGCCCCAGCTAGAGCTGCCCTCGATAGGAAGCTGATGTTCAGCCTGATGGGACTTTCTAAGCCCTGTGACACAGGGAATCAAAACAGCCTCGGCTGGGCTCGGCCGCTCACGCCCGGAATCCCAGCACTTTGGGAGGCTGAGGCGGGTGAGTCACTTGAGGTCACGTGTTCAAGACCAGCCTGCCCAACATGGTAAAACGCCATCTCTACCAAAAGTACAACAATTAGCTGGGCATGGTGGCGCGCGCCTGTAGTCCCAGCTACTCGGGAGACTGAGGCAGGAGAATTGCTTGAACCCAGGAGGCGGAGGTTGCAGTGAGCCGAGATCGTGCGACTGCACTACAGCCTGGGCGACAGAGTGAGACTCTGTCTCAAAAAACAAACAAACAAACAAAACCAGAGGCTCTGTCTGTGGAGAATCCCGGGGGAGGAATGGGAGTCATTGGAACGTGGGATGTGGAGAGGACTTCAGAGAGGGCCCCAGTGCTCTGAGCTCACAGAGGAGTCCACCCTCCATTAAGGCTGCAGCTAGACGCTGGGACGGAGGAGGGTGACCCTGAGCTGGCCTTACTGGAGAAGGAAGAGGGGGAAGGTGCACTGAGTGTCTGCTGGGTAACACTTGACTGCAGCCCAGAGCTCGCAAGGCTGGAGAAGAAAGAGGGGAAGGTGAACTGAGTGTCCTCTGGGTAACACTTGACTGCAGCCCAGAGCTCACAGGTTAAGGGGATGTAAGCCGGAAAAGCTGGGGTGAAGTCACCCACAGAGGGAGCCCTTGAATGGCAGCTGGAGCAGGAGTTTTAACTTTACTCTGTGGCCACAGGGAGCCGGGAGGTTCCAGGTTTGGAGAGAACAGTGTGTGATGGGCTGTGTCTGGATTCGTCAGTGTCACGCGCTGTCCCTGTCCCTGCCATCTCCCAATCAGAGTGAGAGCGAAAGCAATGTTCCCCTCAGAAAGCTGCTCCACTCCAGGCACGCAGGCCCAGTCCACGTTCCAGCCAGAGCCTCCAAAGCACATTCCAGTGGAGCCGAGCACCCTTCCCTCTGCGTGGGGCTTCGGGAGGCCGTGATGTGAGCGGCATTGGTGTCCGCTCCCCGTGGACTGCGTTTTAGTTATTCCCTCAAAGGAAACAGCCTGGGGTAGCGGAGGGGGTGTGCCCATATGCAGACCCCCTACAAAGCCCGTGGAATTCCACTCTTGGCAGAAAGCTCTCAAGTGGTTTGGAGGTAGGATTAGCTCAGCTGCCTAAGCCAGGAGGACGGGGCCTGACCTAGGCCCTCCAGAGCACCGTCTGGCCCTCAGCCCCCTTGCCCACTGCCTACTCAAGCCAGGCGAGGCCTGCCAGCATTGCCCTCCATCAGCTGCCCCAGACAGCACCCTCGATGTGCATTATCTTAGCCACGCTTACAGGCTCCCTGAGGTTGGCATTGCATGGCCCCATTTTACAGATGAGAAAAGGAGGCTTGGGCAGGGCCCGGGTTCTAGAGCCAGAACCGTCTGTGCGCTTTTTCCATGCTCTGATGAGATCCAAGAGACCCTGCGAGGTCACAGCAGACACATGGACGTTCATGTATTCCCAGGGCCCTCGGTACCCGAGGTCAGGCCACCCCTGAGGTCAGGGTCACTCCCGAGGTCAGGGTCACCTCCGAGGTCGGGCCACCCCCGAGGTCAGGGTCACTCCCGAGGTCAGGGCCACCCCCGAGGTCAGGGTCACTCCCAAGGTCAGGCCACCTCCGAGGTCAGGGTCACCCCCGAGGTCAGGGTCACTTCCGAGGTCAGG